GACCCACCCCATAGCTATGTGGACAACACAGATTCCTTCCACTGTTGTTAGGTAAGGAGACCATAAACAGTTGTGATGATATGAGGCAAATTTCACTTTTTTCTAGGGTATGTCAGGGAATCGGGGCCTTACATTTCCACCAATAGTGTTTAAGGGTTCTATTTTTTTCTACCAATACTATGTCTTATAGTTTTTTTGTTTGAATGTTTTGTTGTTTAATAACCTTTATAACAGGAGTCAGGTGATATCTCATGGTGATTTTGATTTGCATTTTCCTGAGGTTAGTGAAGTTGAGCATCTCTTTGTATATCTGTTTGCCATATTTATGTCTTCCCTGGAGAAATGTCATATAAATAGTCAATTTCATGAAATAAAGATTATCTTGGAAATGTAAATGAATTATGTATTAAAATTTCTGAGATAAAAGAAAAAAGTAAAAGATTGTCCACTGTTTCTTTGCCTTATTCCTTTGGTTCTATCTTCTTGTAAAATTAAAGGTTATATACCTAGATTTGTTTAGATTATTCAAGAATTTAGGAGTAATTAAATTCTAAATTATTATACTTCATACACACTCGTTTATTTTTCCATCACTAACTGTGCATCTGCTTTTTGGAAGGCTTCATGTGAGTACTGAAGATGATTTTCTAAAAATCCACTTTTTTGTTCATTTAATTTTAGAGTATAGGAGCAGTTATTATATTAAAAGATTGTGATATACACACTTAGATGTAAAGAACAAGTCAACAGAGGGATGGAAAGAGAAGAGGTTTGACAACCACGTGTAAATGTACTTAGACAAGGCAGTTTGAAGTCTTAAGAAATTGAAAGTGCTTTGGTGGGAGATAATTTTAAGTGAGACTGCAAGGTGGACTGATGTCGCTGTGGAAATGGTGAGCATGGGCCAAGCCCTCATATGGTTGCCTCTAGGAGCTGAGAGACAAAGCCTGGAATGGTGAGCATTTCTTAAGAGTTACTTTGAAATCATGGAGAAACCAGAGAGACTTTCCACCTGGGGCATATCTAAAAGGTGTCCTGTGTTCTAGTCTTAGTGCAGGTGAACACAGTGCACAAACAAGGTGCACATCATCTCCACCCAATCTCTGAAAAATAAGGGGAATAGTCTCAAGGGATGTGGGACACCCAGAATTCTCTGTGCTGGCTCTCTTTGTCCTGAGACACCTAGAGCCTGCTCTATCAAATGAGCATTCAATAGCTTACCTTGTGAGTAATTTGACAAACTCTAAATGGGTGTAGATTTTGGATGATAGTTAGGTGAATAAGTATAGTGGTGTTTAATATGGAGGAGTGTCTGGGAGTTTAAAAAATATTAAAAATTGACAATAACTCTACAAGCTGAAAAGGTCTAAAAGACTGGAGCCCACACTGCTTGTTCCATTTCACTCTGCCTGAAAAAGATCTGTGTTCCTTAATTCACTTTTATTTTCAAGACTCCCAAATGTATCTCTGGGGATTAAAGGGTGAGAAATTGTGCCCAAAATTGGATTGGAATACATAGACAAAGCAATTTAAAAATGCCGCAATGAATAAAAGTTGCAAATAAAAAGGAGAAAGAGATGGTATTCAGTGACATTATGATCATCTACATATGCAATGTCAGACAATTTCAAAATCATGTATCACACAATCATCCTGACCAGCTCCTTCCTGTTAGGAAGTCATGTAAAACAGAAGTCACCTAAGAAGCTAATACTGGCTATTGAAAAGAAGTCTAAAGCAGCATCATTTTCCTCTGATAACTCACCACCTACCCTGGGTTCCCTGCTCTGTGATACAGTTTCCCCCTCTCTCCTTAAGCCTGGGACACAGACTTACAATGTTTGGGATAGGAACACTGATCCAGAGTTTGCAGGGATGTGGTATTTTCCAGGAAGCAGCTCATCCAAGGGACAGGAGCAAATGTCAGACAACTATAAATAAATGTTGTCAAGACAACCACCCCAAAAGATAGGAGGTCATTCAGAGATGTGCCCAAGTCTGCTCTCAGCCCTAGAAGGACCAGGCAGGGCAGTCACACTGAGCATTCTCTCTTTTGCCCCCATAGTTCTAAGCGAAGTGAGAGCCTTGACCTAAGGAAGGTGACCTCAGGGAAGTAAAGAGAGGATCCCAGGCTCTAATAGTTGCCAAGATGAGGAACTTGAATCAGGAATGGAAACCTGACTATGCTATCAGTTCTTGCAGGACCCAAACTCCTCTGGTTTAATGTCACTCACTAGTGCTTCTATTCAGGACATCTCAGGAAAGAGAGGACCTGTATCTGAGCAGAATTTACAGCAGGGGGCTGGGAGTCCCAGGACTGGTTGAGAGCATGGTGAGGTTTGTGGGTATGGTGACTAAAACAGGGATCACTAAACCCACAAATGAGGTGACTTGGAGGAACTCAGTCCCTGTTCTTAACTCCAAGAATTCCTGGGTAGAGCTGTAAGACTAAACTGCTTCTCATTTCAGTCTAAAGGTTCTCAAGAAGGGGAAGGCCTTGTCTAATAGGGCAACCTCAGTTGTTCAGAGGAGTTTCAAACCTAACAGGAGTCAAGGTGAAGATCACCTTTGTTAAGCAGAGGACTTCTCCCCCAAAGAGGGGGCCACCAAAAGCCCTAGCCCTGATTCTGTACATGGTCATCATTTGCAGCAGGCCTAGACTTCTTTAGGGACTCAGGGAGGTGAGGGCTTTGTTTGAAGCTTGGCCAACTCCAGTCAGTAGTCTTACAAGCTCTGTCAACATCAAGGTAAGAACCACGAGTAAGGACCTAAGAACCCCTGCATGCATAAGAATGTGGTCTCAGGGAATCTCACCCCTGCTGTCAGTCCTGGGAGACCCTGGGCAGCAGGACAGGATGTGAGTCATCATCACTTCCGCGTTGAACGCACTAACGTTCGAAGAGGCGCAGTGTCCGGTAACCGGAGGGTGAATTTTCAGAACTACCTTGAGTAAAGGTGAGATGCCTGTTTGATGACTGATGGGTCGACCGCTACTTGTAACATAGAAAGACCAGTAAGTCCTGCTGCTCCGGTGGGGCCCGGGAGGTCTCGGCAGAGCTGTCCGGCAAAGATCTGCGTGGGGTGGGTGTAGGAGGGCTGAGATGTGGACCTCAGTCTTAGGGCGTTGCCCCGATCCTGCAGATGGAGGAGAATTGAGTGCAGGTCCTGGGTGCTAATGAGGGAACCTTTCCCCCATAGGGCTGGCATCAGGAAGCGGCAGCATCTCTGCACTCAGTTCTAGGAGGCTCTGGGCAGACGTCCAAGTCTGGGTTTTCAGGAAGATGTTTTATTTGGAGGCAGGTGTACTTGGTCAGCGGGGGAGGAGTTTCATCATGTTAGATACCAAAGTGAAAACTCTGAGTGTTGGCCTAGGGACCGAGGACTCCGAAACAGTGACGTCCACAGCATACTGCCCCGCTGTCAGCCATCTGAGACCCCGGGCAGCCGCAGCCAGTTGTCGCTTATCTTCGCCTCCATTTTCAAGGCAGGGAGCTTGGTGTGAAGGGCACAAATCCCAATAGGTCGAAGGTGCATTCCCAGAACTAGTCTGGAGTCAAGTTGAGGTCCCTGAATGTAAAGGGAACACCAACATCCATAACAGAGAGGGACAGAGTCCTGGCTCTATGATGGGCCCTAGGAGGTTCTAAGCCACAGCTATAAGACTGAGGAGATGTGTCATTTACACCTGGAGGGTCTCAGGCAGAGAAGAGCCTTTGTCAATAGAGGACAATCCCATTGTCAAGGAGGAGTCTTGGCCTTAAAAGGAGTAAAAGCGGGACCCTTGGTGCTAATGAGTTAGTTTCCTCAGAATAGTGTGCCACTCAGAGAAGCACCCTACCCATTATCTCAGAAGCCCTGGGAGCCCTTGGGTGAGGTAACTAGATGTGTAGCACCCTGACTGCCTCTCTAACGACTCAGGGGAATTAGGCTTTGGCCTGAGGCTTGTGGAGTCAGGTCAGTAGAGGGAGGACGCCTAAATCCTGCCTGGAGTCATGGTCAAAGTCTTGTGTTAGGACTGTGGAAGCCACAGACTCCAGAACCTTGGGTCTGAGAGTTTCACTCTTGCTGTCAGCAGACACAGGTCCCAATCAGCCTTGGCAGTATGTGACTTACTCTGTCACCTTAGGTCTCAGGAATATGAAAACCTTTGTGTAAGAGGCATAGCCTCTGGACAGAATAAGTTGGAGTCCCAGAAATGGTGCTCAGTCAAGGTGAAGACCCTGAGTGAGGAAATAAAGCCTACTCACTATGGGAAAGAGCTGCACCTGATGTCCCTGGGAGTCTCAGGTCAGAGCTTCTGCCTGCAAGGTCTTAGGGAAATGAGAGCTTTGGTTTAAGGGCTTTGGAGAATATGGGCAATATGGCCAGATACAGCCATCCTCACCTCCTCCACTGGGTCTCAGGGAGGTGTAGCCTTACTATGAGGAGATGTCCTCAGGTGTAGAAAAAGCAGATCCCCAGGCACTTGTAGGAGTCAAAGTATGGACCATCAATGATCCCAGGGCAGAGAAGGTCCCACAGATTTGTCAGCCCTGCCCCTCCCCCAAGAGAGTAGTGAGCTGAAGCACCCCTCATTTCTTTTTTCTGAGTCCCAGGGAGCTGTGAGGTATCAGCTGCAGAGCAGAATGGGGAGAAGTTTCCAGGACTTGCCAAGAGTAGATATGAAGATTCCTTATGTCAACTGGGAGCACATTAGAACACAGAGGGAGTCTACACTGCTAACCTCTGCTGTCACCCAGTCAGCCCCAGGCAAGTTTAGGAAACTGCAGCTTAAGACCTGCTATTACTTCCATCACTGGGTTCCCAGGAAGCAGGCTAAGAACAAGAGCGCAGGGTGTTCTGAGAGCAAGAGCTCTCAAGGACACCTGCAGAGGCAGCTTCCTGCAAACCAAGGTGGGATCTGCCTGCTGAGGGTGCTCACAGGATCTTATTCTCCCTCCTCCAGGCACATTACCTGCCTTTCTGTCCACACTCCCACCTGCTGTCCGTGGCTAACCATCATGCCTCGGGGTCAGAAGAGTAAGCTCCGTGCCCGTGAGAAACGCCACAAGGCCCGAAGTGAGACCCAAGTTCTCCAGGTTGCTCAGGCCACTGCAGCAGAGAAAGAAGATTGCCCCTTCTTTCCCTCTACTGGTTTGGGGGACACTCCCCACTGCTCCTTTGCTGCTGGCATTCTCCAGGAGCCTCAGAGAGTCCCACCCATGACCACTGCTGCTGCAGATCTTTCATGCACAGGATCTGGTGAAGGTGCCAAGAGTCAAGGTGACAGAAATGAAAGTTCCTCCCAGGCCTCAACATCCACTGAGGGTTCTCGCAAAGATCCTCTGAGTAGGAAGGCAGGAATATTGATGCAGTTCCTGCTAGATAAGTATAAAATGAAAGAGCCCATTACAAAGTCAGAGATGCTGAAGGTTGTCAATAAAAAGTACAGGGAGCACTTCCCTGAGATCCTTAAAAGAGCCTCTGAGCGCTTGGAGCTGGTCTTTGGCCTTGATTTGAAGGAAGAGAACCCCAGCAGTCATTCCTACATCCTTGTCAGCATGCTAGACCTCACCGAGGATGGAAATCTGAGTGGCTTGAGTGGTGAGTGGGAATTTCCCAAGAATGGGCTTCTGATGCCTCTCCTGGGTGTGATCTTCTTAAAAGGCAACAGAGCCACTGAGGAAGATATCTGGGAATTCCTGAATACCGTGGGCGTCTATGATGGAAAGAAGCACTTAATCTATGGGGAGCCCCGAAAGTTTATCACTGAAGATCTGGTGCAGGAAAAATACCTGGAGTACCAGCAGGTGCCCAACAGTGATCCTCCACGCTATCAGTTCCTGTGGGGTCCAAGAGCCTTCGCCGAAACCAGCAAAATGAAAGTCCTAGAATTTGTGGCCAAAGTCAATGATACCATCCCCAGTGCCTTCCCATACCATTACGAAGAGGCTTTAAGGGATGAGGAAGAGAGATCCAGAGTCAGAGTTGCAACCAGGTCTGGCATCACTGCCATGGCCTGTGGGCATCCTAGGGCCACATCCAGCAGCTCTTCCCACCACTTGTGAGGTATAAGGCAGATTGCTCACTTTGTTTTTGAGGCAAGATGCCAACCTTTTAAGTAGTAATAGGCTGAGATAGACCAGAAAGATCATAATATATATCTTCTTTGTTTTCCTGTTATACATTAATATCTTTCAAATGTTAGTCTTTATTAGAATATTTATTTAGGTTCAGAGTAGATATTTATGAGTTAGATAAATCACACATTTATTGCTTTTGTCAGGTTTAAAAGTAAGAGTTTTGGTATTCTGTAATACATGTGTAAAATCCTTGGCTCTTTTGGGGGTTCAAAAACAATAAAACATGGCTTTGGAATGTTTGAGAAAACCTCAGAAAACAAAATTGGGGTCTTAAAATAGAGGATAATAAAGCAAAACATGTCAGGTTTTGGTTTGCTTCATTCACTTTTGTTTTTCTTTTTTGTAAAATTCAAGAGTAACTACTTGGTTGTCTTCATTGTATTCAAGAATGCAATAAAATTAAATAGTAATAAAATCACATGCTTTGCTTAATGGCTTATTTATTCTTATCATTAATTGAGCATATACTCTTTGGAAAGCTTTGTGCTAAGTTAAAGAAGGCCCTTCCCCTGACCTTAGATTTTTAATCTAAGAACAGTTATTATGTAAGGAAACAGTTATTATATAAGGAAGATGGTGTGATACACTGTAACACCTACAAAACAAGCTAAAGAAAACAATGGTAGAAGGAGATCCAGAAGAGAAAAGTCAAGTGTGAATTCCCCGAGCAAAGGCACTTTGTAGTGTGGAACATTGCAGTTTCCTTGTTGTGAGGTCATTTAAAGTTAGCTCCATGGTGGGCTACTTGAGGTTGTGAAAATCATAAGCAGGTTCCAAACCCTCAGATCATGAACCTTGTAGTTGAGAGACTAATCCTTGTATAGGAAACTGCCCTTAATAGTTTCTTTGGGATTGTGGGTAAAGCAGAGGGACTCTCTGCCTGGGGTAGGACTGAGAGCATACAGTGCTGTTGTCCCAGTGCAATTGAACACAATACAAAAACTAGGTGTTGGATGCATATTGCCTCCAGAGAGTTTCTGAGAAATAAGAGTGATACTCTCTTGTGGTTAGATGCCAGGAGGTCACTGGGCTGGTACTCTTGGTCCTGAGATGGGGGAACCAGAGTCTATTCTATTAATTATGTTATCTTGTGTGTAGTTTAGCAAAACTTCAACGTAGGGCTACACATCTTGTTGATAGTGAAATAAGTGAAAATAAGGATTTTTACAGGGAGGGTATCTGGGAGGGAGAGAATTGTTGGTCCTTGACATAATTCTATAAGCTTTGAGTTTCTGAAGCCCCTGCTTCCATATTAAATAACATACTCTCTCATGGGGAAAATGTTCTTAGTGTTACCTGCTTAACAGCATTTTGGTTTGTTTGGTTTTCTTTGTTCTAGAGCATTGCATGTTCTCTGATATCTCCTGGACAAGACAAGAAATCCCCAGAGATGATGGTAGTCTCTTCTTGTGTGCATATAATCACAGTAATGAGTGCCATTTATTAAAGAGCTAATATTTGCTAGGCACTTTGCCTAGTGCTTTACATACATTACATATGTTCCAACAATTCTGCAGAATGGGGCTTATTAAATTCACTTGACAGATGAAGAATTTGTAATATTTTCAAGTTCACATGACTGGTAAGTTGTTACTGAACATCAGCATCCTGTTGCTCACCACGCAGAAAGCCAGTCACTGAGATGACTATTGCTAGGGAAGAAGCCTTTATTATTTTCCAAGTGACATCAACTGGAGAGATGGGAGTCAAACTTCCAATCTAGCCTTCCTCCCTCACTAAAGTTAAGGGTTTATAAAGCCAGGAAGAAAGACAGGAGGGACAAAGAAGAGGAGTTAGTCAACAAGCGGCATGAGGTCGAATGAGGGGTCTAATGTCTCATTGCAACCCATGGGGGGGCAGGAATTAGGGAGAAGTAAGGAAGAGGAACTCGTCAACAGGCAGCAGGTGCATTTCACTGTACAAATGTTAAGTTTCTTAATCCTCAGTTCTGTGGGTATCTGACTTGTTGGAAATGTGGGTGGGTTTCAAAGTGACAAGTCTGGGATCAGACCCCTGGTCTGAATCCTTCTAGAGCCCACGCTGTCCTGTTCTTGAAACTTAAGGCCAACCATTCTGTCTCTTAATTCTTCTCACTAATCCACAATATATCTCAAGTGATAAATAAAAGCAGGCCCCCCAAAAAAGGTGAAAATGAGGATCAAACACAATTTGGGACTGTCTGTGGGTCTTGTTTGCCTGGGGGTCTTCCCACCCCTACCCCCAGGGTTCCTTCAGAGCTGACTCTACCCTGGTCCCAGCACATGGGTCCAGTCCTAGCACTTCCCATCTTACAGCAGCCTATCCCTGTATTTTCCCCTCTGTGCCCTCCTGCCCAAACTGGAATCAACCTACTGGCCAGTTCTTCACTACATCCTTCTAAAGCCTGCACCCACTTGCAGAGGAATGAACAGTTCAGACTCACTTGCCTTGACCTTGACATATAGGCTCTCAACTACTTGGAGGTCTCACCCTTCCCATGAACTCTCTGACCACATTAGCACCCTCCACGTAATTGTTCACTTCAGACAGTGAAGTTTAGACACCTCTTCATCCCCCGGGTACTGTCACCACATTCAAAGTGAGAAGAATCTATTTGACACAGAATCTACTGGTTCTTGGTTTATAGCCTTGAGGTTAGTGAGGAGGTTTTTATTTTTAAACCACTTTGATATTTGCAGTAGGATTTTAATAGAGTATTTTATTTGAGACTGGTCACTGAACACACATACCATTGAGTGAACATACTTAGGTGGTCAACAACCAAAGCCTCCCCCTCTTAAGTGGTAAATAAGGAACGACAGAAAAAAATCACTGTGTAAGCAAATACCCACTAGGTTGAATCCCTAAAAATTCTTCTTGGAGTCCTTCTCAGAGGTGAAAAATGGCTCTTTGGCAAACATGCTAGCTTTGAATAAAAAGGAGAAGAAATTACCATCCTTTCATTTACTCTTGTCAGTAACTGTCTTCCCCAGGAGAAAATGTGTGTTTAATTGTACCAGTTCAGGTGTTCAGGCATGTTAAGTCAAGTGGTGGGTCACTATGATTTCGACCATACACTAAGAGGTAGAAAAAATTCTCAACCTATTGAAATTATGCAGATCATTATAAAGTGTCATGCAGAAAGGTGCTATTGAGTGACAAAGACGAGTAAAGAGATTTACAGGGTCATTTTGAAAATTAGGTGTGACTTCATGTTTGGAAACATCTGTCTCATAGTAGACACAAGACCAACTTGGAAAATTTCGAAGCAAATTTTGCCTTCTTAGAAACTCCTCCAAGAAATGAAGAGGGTTGTTTTCATTGAAAACTGTGTAGCAGTTTATGAGAGAGACAATAAGTGCTCATCCACATGATGTCTTCTCTCCTTCCTGGGCTCATGGAAAAACTACATTCCCAGTGCACTTGTAGTTAGGAAGAGTCACGTGCCTAAGTTCTAAGCAAAGGCAGGTGAGAGTCAGTCTGTCACCTCTGTGCTTTGGCATCCATTCAGCAGCAAACATAGAATCCATGAGATGTGGAGTCATATGATGGAAATAGTGTGGATACCTGTCACCGGATAGCAGAGAACCTTTGTCAACCTACATTCGATTTTATGTGCACAAAAAAGAAACTTTTGTTGTGCCAAGCCACTCAGATTCCAAGTTTTTTTTCTGTTACATTTGTTAGCAGCTACTTTACCTGAGTAATATACAATTACTATTCCTATTGCTAGGCCTATTTAAAATATTTAAAGACAAAGCTAAAAGTAAACTTAGTAAATATATATATATATTTGAGCCAGAGTCTCACTCTGTCACCTAGGCTAGAGTGCAGTGACATAATCACGGTTCACTGCAGCCTGCAACTCCTGGGCTCAGGCAATCCTTCTGCCTCAGGCTCCCATGTAGCTGGGACTATATGCAGGTGCCACCACATCCTGCCAATATTTTTTATTTTTATTTTTTTGTAAAGATTAGGTCTCCCTATGTTGCCCTGGCTGGTCTTGAACTCCTGGGCTCAAGTGATCCTCCCACCTTGGCCTCCTAAAGTGCTGAGATTACAAGGGTAAGCCACTGCGCCCAGCCAGAAAAAAATTTAATACCAATGAATCACAATCCCCCCCAAACTACGACAACATTTCTCCAAAATTCAGCTTTCTTTTCAAAAATAACCACAATTAACAATCTTGTTTGTGTCACTTTAAAGCTATTTCAAGACTTTTTATACATAGATGTGCTATAAAATGTATTGAGCTTTTAACAACAATGGGTAACATGTACATATTATTCTGCCACTTGCTCCTTCCTTTTATTTAATAAAATAAATACAGTATCTTTCTATGACAGCACATATAGATCCACCTCACTTTTTAAACTACTTCCTGAAATTCTAGAGTGTGCATATGACATAATTAACCTTTCTCCTCCTGATGGACACACAAGTTGTTTTCCATTTATTGTTACAATGAATAGTTAATATTTTTGAATATGAATTTTTGGATAATTATGCATGACTTCTTATAGAAAAGACATAGCATAGCAGAAAGAGAAGGTACAATTACTGCAAATTTTTATAAACATTGCTAAAATTTCATCACAAAGTGTTACCATAAATTAAAGAATGTAGTTACCCTGCACCCTCATAGACACATTATTTTATTGTTCTTAAGTTTTTGCTAAACTTTAGGGTGAAAAATATTATCTTAATTCATGTGTTTTTATCTTCTAAGTAGGTTGAACAGAATATTAACTCAATTCCCTTCTCCTATAAGTCGAGACTTCTGAAGTGATGTTTTGAGTACCAGAACTCCTTTGGACATACCTTGAAATTCCAAAATGTTGACAAAATATTTTCCTGTGCTTTGAGAGGCAAGGATTTGGTCAGAATAACCAAGTGACAGAAAGTGGTTCCAGACAGACACCTTCAGTTAGTGAGGAGCATCTGGA